TTGATTTGGCAGGGAATGGCAGATTGCTCCATAGTAGAAAGGATGTGGATGCTTGTTTTTGGATTTTGTTTGGTGATTTTCAACTGCATCTCCTGTTGTTTCCATATTGAATTTGGTTGTAAACTAAAAAGTATGCTACATGTTTTTTTACGTTGATCCTTGAGATGGAGCTGCCCTGATGGCACTTCCATCCTCTTATCTGATTCAAATGAAGTAAACTTCTAGGCATTTTTCATTTAACCCCTTATTTCAAAGCATTAATCAATTTGGGGGAAAACTGAGACTTGTAGGTCCAATTCAGTTTACATTGAGACCTCTTTTACTGCCAGCACGTAAGAGCTCAATAGTGTCTGTAAATATCTATATCAGTTTTAAGGCTCCTTTACATTTTTACAGTGCTACAAAGATGACTAATGAGCATTCATTGCTGGAAAACTACAATCGAGTAGGAATCTTCATCTTTAGATTACCTGCTTTTCAGTTGCTTATATCTATGAAATAAATGTTCATCGCCCCCACCTCCTGCAAATCCCCTTATAGCAGTCCCTACGCTAACCTTTTAGAGAGAATTTAGGCAGAGTTCAGCCATTTTTGTGTTATGCAAAGCATAAAGAAAAAGGCTTCCTGTCTTCTGGATTACCTGGTAGAACAGTTGACTCTGAAAAGCCCAAACATCATTTGCTTCACGGTCCTGATGTGGAAAGCATAAAGAAAAACAAACTAGACATTTCTGGCTTCACAATATACTAAAGTATCCATTCTCTGGATATCTATTAGGTTTTTCTTTCAGTTTCTCCTTCTGCCTCAACCCTTTCCCAGGGAAGGGCTGAAAACAAGGCAGCAGCAAGAGGTGGTTTTGAACACCAGCACCTTTCCTAAAACATCGTCTTTCATTAAAAGCTGTTATGGTTGCAAAACAGTCTTGAAAACATGAACTAAGTGTAACCTGGGCATAGATGTCTGCTTAAGTTTTCACAGAGCCTGAAATAACAGCTCTGAGAGATGTAAACCTCATCTCAACAGGGTTTTCTCTCGTATGCCTTCTATTTTAAACGTGAACTTTCTCCACTCTTCCTGCTCTCCCAGGCAGGCAAGGTTTAGTCACTGCATCCAGTCAATTTATTCTAGTGACAAGGCACGTATTTACTTTGGGAAAGAAACCCTACCTATTTTTTCTCCAATTACGATAAAATAAATTCCAAGGGACCTGATGGTCATATCTGCCAAGACAGACACCAGTCCAAGAGACTGGCTGGAATCGCACCGTAGATCAGCCTGACAGGCCGCCAGACTACTCTTCTGTCTGTAAAAGTGGCAAGCATCAGCAGCTTAAGAGAAGAGAGAAGCAAACTCACAGTAGGCTTATAAAACATTCAGTATAATCCAAAATACAGATTTACTGAAATCCTGAAACACAGCATTTTTTTTCACTTTCTGGTACACTTCAAATAGAATTTTTCCACAAACAAAACATCTCAATATTTGGATAATCATCCAGTCCAAATTCATTCTTGCTAAATTATTGGCCATTTTTTTCAGCAATAAGTTTCTAATTCTTTGTGCTTTACAGTACATATGGGGGGAGAGATGGAGGGCGGAAAGGAGGCAGAAGGACAGATGTATAGACAAGCTTGTGATTGTCTCCCTCCCCACGCGTGCTTTCTCGTGTACCCAGCTTTACTTGCTGCTGCTGCTGCTGAAGCCCTTTCAGCTCTGCCACATCCCTGCGTGCAGGATGCGGCCAGCCTGCCTCGGGTACTGCAGCTGAGCAGCTCTGGGCGGCTGCAGGAGGGTCCCTGCCTTGCTCTTCCCACCACCGTGGCTGGAGCAGGGACGGGCATCACTCCCCCTCTCTCCTGACCCTTTAGTCCAGACTGGTCCTATCAGAGAAGTTAAATTTAACAGCAGATGAGTTAAAGCTGCCTGCTTCAAGGGCCTCTCACAGAATGCAAAAACACACATTTGGTTTTTTTTTGTCTAAAAAACCCCTGTGCTATATGAAGTGTGTGGTTATGTGTGAAGGATACAAAGCCCCAAACGATTTCATTTACTTCAGTGGGAGTTGCAAATACTGGCTGTTAAAACACAGCCAAGAATTACTGCAAAATGAAAGCTGGGAAAGTAAGTACTTGAAAACCAGGAAAATCCCAAAGCTAAGGTTTCTGCCGCAGCATTCAGTCATTTTCGCTGCACATCTATGCGTTTTATTACTATTTAATCAGTATCCTGTGAGGTGTGTAGGATGTGTAATGAAGCCAAAACGATATTGCTTTGGAAAAGTTAGTATTTGTAATTTCCTGACTTTTGAATATTTGATTATTCAACCTCAGTAACACACTAATGCTGTTTTATGTGTTTAATATATAATGGGCTTGAATTTTTTTCTTCTTTTTAACTGTTGATATGATGATTAATTTCTGGAGGAAGAGTGAAAAGAATGACATTTTTTCTTTGGCCCAGTACCGCAGAATCTATTTTATGCGTTTTTTCATTGCAATGATACTATGCTGGTGAGGGAAACTTGGTGTAGGTGGGAATTTGGCTGCTCAGTGCCTCTCAGATGAATGAGACTTGGAAGCCTCTCAAGGACGGTGTTATTTTTTCTTCCTTTCCCAACTCACTGGAAGCACTCGAGGGTATAAAGCTTTTTACGTGTGTTTACAGGACGGTGCGTTTACTCCAGCGCCCTTCCCTACTGCACCACCTCTTAAGCAGTTGGGGAGGTTGTTTGTTTAGCATTCGATAAAAATAAAAGCTAAACAGATTACTGCAGGTTAAAACAACATTTATGACCTTTAGTATGAAAAGCCCCATTTCCCTGCTGTGCATAAAGAGTGCAGAAGGGATGTGAAGGTGTAGAAGTTAACGCACTCGCCGGACTCGGATGAAGAGCTTATTTTGCAGCGGGTGAAGGTGTCGGCGAGGTAAAACATGACCGCTGCCGGCTCTGCCCTACCCCACCCCACCTACGAGGGGCCTCCGCCCGGGCCCGGGCCCAGGCCGG